AGTCTAATTTCTACACACACCGTTTCGATGTTCAAACTATATTGTTGTATTATGATTATTTGAATATAGACAGACTTCCTATAACAGCAGGTGCACAACACATAAGCACTTTCTCTCACGCTTTAGCTTGTGTTGGCCTACATAAAATAAGATACATTTATTGTGTGAAATGGCCAGACTAACCGGGCCTGCTAATCATGAGAAGCAGACATGGCTCTGGGGAGGAGTGAGCATAATGGATAGCTCAGATTAAACACTGGCACGAGGCGTAGAATGAGTTCCAAGAGCGTAATTGCATGATAACACACTGAGAATGTAATTATTACTGAAATATAAGGAAGACGTGGGAAGTGGCAGCCGGTGCATTAAGAGGCACTGGTCGTGAGAGGGAAATGCATAAGAATGAGCATGTGTAGGAAGAAAAGAACAAACTCAATATATTATGCCTTAGTTTCTGTTTAAAATTGAAACGTTTTGAAAGAGTACAAAGTTAAAGCTGGGGGGCTAACTTCTTTGTTTCATAAAAAATACATGTGATAGAAAGACAAATTAAAAGTTTGTGAACAATGACGCCACCTGCATGTGAAAGACAGATCCTGAAAGCCATGAAGCTAAGCAGAGCAGGGCCTGGTTATTGCTGTGATGGGAGACTTTTGGAAACACCAGGGGCCAGGGATGAAGGAATCCTAATCCGACCAACTGTCTCTACACAGAAAGTGTTTAAAATGGGGAATTGGCTATTCACTAAAACCTGGTTCTGGTAAACCTTGTATCTCATATAGACCTCATTGGATGCACGAAATAACAAATGTGAATGAGGCTTTGTGGGGAGAATATGCCACAATTGTCACTTTCTAGTACTTCTCCAGAGATGTGATGCTTTGCTGTGATTGGTTAACATCAATCTGTCACTGTGTGAGGGCATGACAAATGGTGCCTTATAGATGGAGCGGGTGGAAAAGTAGACAGCATCAATGACCAACTGGTCATCCATCAATTTTGATCCTTGTCCGCCGCTATGTTTTTTTCAAGGCAGATAGAGATAGAGTCAAGGAGGCCAAAATCTTTCCTGCTTCCCAGGAGATACTCTACCACTCTAAAAATAAGTATATACATTTCTTGCATTTCTCTAAAGGCTGAAATAGTAGTGGCTTAGATTCTGGCAATTACTATGCATATTTTTTCCTGAATAGACTTCAGTTTTATCAGAAAAAACAATTCCACAATTTCTGATTATTTTTACATTAATTACTGTTCTGTTAATGCCTCAAAATCACATCTCTCAGCACAATTATGTTTTAGAGCAGTTAACCATCAGTTCTTGATTAGATCTTGATTTGTTGCGCTTAACCGACAAATCCTTAGTGTTCTATAGTCTACACAGCTGGGAGCTGGAGTTGATTCATTATTAGGATTATCAGTATTATTCAAAATATAGACACCAACACTGATATATTGCTAGTGACGGATAACGGTGAAGATAATAAAGCACTGTTCACCACTTTGTTTCTTGATGTCAGTCAGTGTGTGTGTGTGGGGGGGGGGGGGCAAGATTCCAGATGAGGAAAACAGTAAGAGAAAAGTTCACAGAAATGGCAGATGGAGACAACTGTAGCTTGTGGTTTTAGTTAAGAGAGTACTGATGGAGCGTGTGTCTGCCCCGCGTTCTGACTGGGCCAACTCCCCCCTGAGGTCTACTCATCCTCTCTCTCTCTCTCTCCTCTCTCCTCCTTTTATTTATTTATCAGTCTATTTTTATCCCAGGATTCAGACGAACAGTTACATAACAGTAGGGGAAAATGTGCCACGCTGGAGCCTTGGAGCACAAAAAGCACAAAAGTAGAAGAAGAGAGAGAGAGAGAAAGAGAGAGAGAGAGAGACTGCTGACATAGAGGCACACTCCAAATAACAAGCAAGACTGTCACTATACCAGACGTGCGCTGCTAGCTTCATTCACCGGACAGCTCCAGTTGAATTCTAATCACAAGTTGAACCAGATTGGCTGCGTGCAGTGATAAAAAATTCATATCACGCCTCGGGGAACAACACGATTAGAATTTCTTGTTGCTGTTACCCCAAATAACCTTCACGCCTTCTAATCGATACGCTTCTTGTATTTCATGAGAGGAATAGTATAATGTGACTGTATTAAAAGTTGTGCTGTAGGGGGTTGACAGGGGCTGTGGGAAGGCAGTAGTGGTAAAGAACAAGGGTGAAATGGTAATTAAATGCCATTGGGAGAGCTGCCCTGACTTGGGGTTCAAGAGTTGCTCAAGTGGTCATTTATCAAAATGGGATGGTTGGTGTAATTTTGTGGGGAAAAAATTACTATGGGAAATATTCAGATTTCAGACTGAGATTTAACTCATTCACTGCCCATGACGACAAAACTCGTCATGTTGAATAGTAACGCTCACTGCCCATGACGAGTTTGACGAGTTTTTCGTGTTATTACACGGGAGGCTGCAGTAATGTCTGGCGCACCTTGTGAATGACCCACAATACTGATATATAGTGCAAATGTACCTGTAATGATAAATCACCACCAGTAGGATGCAGTATTGCGCCACAGGAGAGGTCATAAGTCAGTGGAGAGAAGGAGGAGGAGTGTGGGAGTGTGAGAGAGCGTGCTGCTGTAGCAGAGCGTGCTGCTGTAGCATTGAGACGGGTCAGCGATCTAGTTTAGCGATAGTATAGCAAGAGTGATGGCGAAAAAGAATAGTTATAAGCAGCTGACACTGCTTCAGAGATTGACTCGCGGATCAGTGAGTGAGGTCGAGAGGGGAGAGAGTGGAGACCCCGGTGGAGGTCCGTCTCTGCAGCTACATTTGCGCGGAGCAAGAGCAGAGACACACCCTCCGCCTCTCGCAGCGTATCAGCTGCTGTTGTTAGTGATGCCTCGGATTCGTTCAGCAAACCTGATCATGATTTATCGGACACACTCACACGCACTCACTCACTCATTCACACACACAGACACTCACTCACACAGACACTCACTCGCACACTGACAGTCACACACACACACACACACTCAAATTCACATGCTTCATTCTATTTTATACATCTATAGTTTTATTGATCTTTGTGTTGTTGTTGTTTGACGTTTTGGTTGATGGTATAGAAGAAAGTTAAATTTTCTATCTGTGAATAAATTGCCAACAATTTGCCATCAAAAGTATTATTTCAGAGTCATGTTTTTATAATTTTTGTAATGGAACAAGTGTGAAGATGTTTTGAGTTGTCACTAAAGCAGCAAAAATGCATCTAAAAGTCTCTTTTCTGCTTGATATGTTCCTGTTTACATACAGCTCGTTTTCTCTGTTTTCTTGCTCAGACCAGGTGTTATGGGTGAAAGTATGCTTTGTTCTATGGCGAATAACGCAAGAACGGTAAGAGGTAGAAACAAACTGTTTTTTTCAGAGTAAAGCAGAGAGGTGAATCTTTAATTTGGTGCTCTTGGTGTTTACATCGTCTAAAAAATGAATATTCTGTGGCACTTCAAAGTTGGGTCAAATCACCTGAAATTGCTGGCAGAATGCACTTCTCAAATCTGAAAATGCCTGGCAGTCAGTGAGTTAATTATATAAAAGAGTACAGGAAGTAATTGGGTTAGTCAGTGGGTTCAGTAATGGCTGATGATTCATCTTTTCGATAACTTTTTCAAATAGAAGAGAAGAAAAAACTTTATTTACAGCAAAAACAGCCAGAAATCCTTGAAGTTTGTTTCCTCATTCTGAACACACGATTGCACATGCTGCAGCTATTTAAAAATGTATGACGCTTTTATTATTTTTCCAGCATTTTCAGAGCTTTCAATTCACACTCACTTTCACTCAGCACTTTTTTAAAGATAAACTAAACTCCAATTGAATTCCTTTTTAGATGTTCCGGTACCACAAATTTTCATCCTACTGGAGCAAAATTTATTCTCTGCATTTGACGCATTTCTACATATGTTGAACAGTAAATGTATATCTGCAGTTTTATAACACATTGGAATTTGTCCACTGCATTGGACCCATCCTTCAACCTGTCAGGAGCAGTGCTAAAGGGCCCATCTCTCTAATGTGGTGATCCGGGACATTTACTGACATATGTGGAATTCTATTAACATATATGGACATTGGCCATGCCGATTCCAATGTGTTTGTCGTTATTTAATTGACGTGTTCGAAATGCTTGATTCTCAGATGATGGGTGAGAAACCTTCCTTTGCTTTGACTAATCCCTGTACGACTGAGGGCTTACACAAACCTCTCTGATCTGTTGTTTAAGGATCCACAATTTTGTCAAGTCCTCTGCTGTTTTGATTTTAGGAATACTTTTTGATTTTAGCTATTCAAAATTAATACATTTAATTGAATTGAATATGATCTTAGCATGTCCAGGAGTCTCAGGACATGCTAATGGTGGATTTTACCTCCATGCTCATTGTATTATATTCTCCTATTGCCTAGGCTAGAAATTGATAATAAAAATCAATAAAAACATTTAATGAAAGGTGAGAACATCTCCACAAACCTGACTCAAACTTGAGGGATTCATGGATATTTTATGTCAGGTAGGGCAGTTGCAAAATCCCGAAAATGACTATTGTTGTGTTAATATCAAATATGTGTTAATATATAGGGAAGTCTGGGCGTCTCTGCTTAGACTGCTGCTCCCGCGACTCGGGTAATAAAATGGATGGGTGTTAATATCAACATTAATAAAGTATCCAATACATCAATGGGTATGTCTTCTGCAGTTATGTTATGGTATGATTTTTATTTTTACAAGGACAGTGAAAAAGAAACATTAACCAAAAGGAGAGATGCATTGTACCAGGTTATAGAAGGACTGCTAATTTACACCTGTAGTCTGTCAGCAGTAAATGTTTTTCCAGGCTGTGTCGGAATTAATAAAATCTACACCAGTCTGAACTCCACAGAGAGAACAATGGAGCTGTACTGTGGGCCCCATATTTTCAGAGTACCTGTACACTTCATCTAGCTCACCTGATTTGTTGGTTGGCCTCGCTGCGGATCTTGAGCACCTCTTTGCCCTTCATCTCCAGCTCCTTGGTGAGTGAGCTGATGTTCTCGTTGAGGGTGTGGATCTGTAGGTCCAGCTGGGCTATGTGGCTCTTCCTCTTGGACACCTCGTCCTGCAGCTCCGACATGCGGCCCACCATCTCACTCTCCTGAACGGGCAGCGGAGAAAGAAAAGGCAAATGGTGAATGGCCTTAAAAAAAGACCAATTGACGTGAAAACCCTTGAAAGAATGAATAGGAACAACAACACCACTTTGAATGTCTAAAAGCTGAGGTTCGGACTAGAAGAAGGAGGCTCAGACTAGATGACTGGAAACTACGTGTGCAGAAACTCACTGCTCTCAGTCGTCCCACTGCTGCAAGCTTTCATTTCGTGCAGCAACCCTCCTCCTCCCATCACCGCCTAATCAGCCAGACCAACTCTTCAACCCTTCTCCTAAGCTTCCAGCAAGGGTCTAAACACCAAGATCCCTTTGGCGCTTTCACATAGACTTTCACTGTACCCTGACCTAAACAAAATATGTGCATTGACCTAAAAAAACAGAGAATAGGGATGGAATCCCTAAAACGGCTAAAAAAAAAACATTAATAAGCTGTGATTATTGCGGGGTGGCTACTATAGGTTTTCAATCAGCTCTGACTTAAGCTTGAATCATGCTTTATTTTAATATGTAAAGATTAAAATCAAACGAGATTATTTTACATTATGAAGTTGTAACATAATAGCTATAATTAGCTAATCATTCCTTTTGAAGCCTGGAGCATCTTGCTCTTGCTTCAGCGTTCATGTTTATAGAAATTTTGACCTGGGGTGACATTTGCAACCCAGACTCTTTGCTTCTTAATCTCAAAAGTATTCAACATTCAAGCAGAAAACAATCTCCAGCTCTACAAAATGCTTTCAATAATGTGACAATTACAGCTGTAATCATGGTCAAAAATAGAATCCCTCAAAAAAGCCCAGCAAGCATACATATTACACAGAATAATCTGATGATTATAGATGATGAACGCAGGACCTATTTTGCAAAATGTAGGATGTGCAGCAAAGGACAGATGTCACAATGGCAATCACCAAAAAAACATACACTGGTTTATTGTGTGTGTGTGTAAGTTCAAAATAGTCATTATTGTAAATACTAGTTTATAACCCGTAGTGTTAATGTTCTGCTTAGTGCTCTATATCAAGACTCAAAACCTTTATAAATTGGCCTAGTCATTTTGATATTTCAAATCTATTTTGTTCTATTTTATTTAAATATTTTGTGTGATGTTTTTAATTCTATTGTAAGGCATCCTTGGGTGTCTCAAAAGGTGCCATTAAATTGCTATTATTATTCTTATATTGTTGTAGTGTTATGCGTATTATTCTATGTACTCTATTGCGTTCTACTGATATTGTTATTGCCTTGTGCTGTGTGGCATGTGTGATGTAAGTTTGGAATAAATAAACAACCTCTTTTCTTGTGAATCCTTGCAGTTCTTGAAAAAATAATAAAAATAGAAGGCAGCCACCTTAACATAGCTCTTGTAAGGTTAAACTTAGGACAGGGCCAAGCCTGTCCACTCTGTTTACCATTGACCAAATGGAGAGATACAGCTTCAAAGGAGCCATGGGGTCAGCCACAAGCCGCCATCAATCATGAGGATTACAGATGCCAAAAAGAGCAATAAAGTCACCACGGGGATAAGCACCTCTGTCTCTGCCTGCCTGTAGAGATCAAAGATCACAACCCTGCCCTCGCTCACAGACTCCTGCCACCGGACAATCAAAGACTCCCCCGCGGCGCTCTGACGCCCCCTTGTGAACAATGGACACTATCACACCCGGGACGGACAATTGCGAACCGGTACCCCTGGGTCCAGTACTCCAATAATCTGCATTGTGCCCCATATGTGTGTATCAATGTCAAAGTAATGAAATACGGTGTGTGTTTGTACATGTCTTATGATTATTAGCATCAATCCTGTGTGTTTCCTTTACAAACTGTCTGTTGTAAAAGGGGTCTGTCCACAGAGGGCAGGGGCGTGTTGGAATATTGAACTCCTGGACCAGTTAAAATTAAAATCAGTTTAGTATTGTTTCTGTTGCCAAATTAGCACTTGTTTGTGTAAATCTCAAAGAGCAGTGAGTTCAAGGTTAGTCTGTGTGAGAATGGGAGGGGGACAAGAGGGAGACAAGTGGTTATCAGAGCAGGTGCAAACGTTGGCAGCGGGCCAGAAGGAGTCATAGGGTCCATACAGTTGTGATGTCAAGTGACCTTGGATGTAAAGTATAAATGTATGTGCAGAAGTGGTCACGTGGGGGTTTTTCTTTTTCTTCTGACCAGGAGGGTGAAAGACGTCCCCGGGGCCACTCCTTATCTTGGACGCGAAGCGAGACTTGTGTTCGCAGACCGTTAATATTGTAATATTGCTTGCAAAATCTTCAATATAACCTTTTGAAATCAGGTTTGGTATCTGTCATTTCTATTACTGTTTTAACATTGGTTTTTGTCTCTTGTTGAACTAAAAGGACCTGCAGAACGAAGGGCTGCTGTGTTTGCGGCCTCTCTGCAGCTTCTGGGCAGGGGAATTCTGACAAATTACTGCAGAACTTGGCGTCGCTCGAACAGGATTCGACAGGAGACACTAGGACCGGTCAGAGAAAAGATTAATTTGGCGCCAAAGTAAAACGGTAAGATTGTTACCAACTAATTAATCTTTCCTTTCACCTGACCTGAGACCTAAAAATAAAAAAAACAAACAAACAAAAGTAGGGTAAATATTGAAGGATTTGCTTGCAAGTATTTTTATATTTATTGGGATAATAGTATTCTAAAGTCTAAGTGACTTAAGAAAAGGAGAAAAACTGTGTGTTATCTCAGTGATTGATAGTCAACCTAAAAGGACTGTGTGAGGATCTAAGTGATTTATGAGTTAAAAGGAGTGAACTGTGTGTAATCTCAGTGATTTAATAGTTGAAGGAGAAAACTGTGTGTTTTAATTAATTGACAATAAGGGAAAGGACAGGGACAGTGTCTAACTTTTCTCACTTTTTAATTTTTCTCTTGGTGTGAATGAGTGATTGATGTCTTCTGTGGAAGTGACCATTGCACAAACGGTCACAGTGAACGCAGTAATTTGGGTCGCGTAGGACGGGGTCACGATTCGTGCGTACATTTCCCCACCACATTTTGTGGTCGAACGGGGAGATACCACGATCTGACGCTCTAAGATTACGCACCCAATTGCTGATTCTTTACATTGATATTGATAACACAAGGCTTGTAATCTAGACGGTAGAAAACATGGCATCTGTAACATTAGATGAGTGGATAAAGGGGATTATACAGTATTTAGAGGGGACAACAGAGATTAAAAATACAACAACAAGGAGCGTTAGAACATGGTTAAAATCAAAAAAGAAAGATGGTATTTTAGCTAAGTCAAATTCACCTCCAAGTGAAGGGTTAATGAAACAACTAAGAGAATTAGTTTTGGAGAAACGTTCTCAAATGCAAAGAGAGAAGCCGTTAGAAAATAAGAAAATTCAAAAGTTGACAGATGAGGTTACTCTGATTTCAATGATGATCAAACTAAATGAGAAATGGATGACTGCTGCCAAATTGCAAAGTACAGCTCCTGATTCTTCCCCTCCACCGTATGCTCCATTGTATCCAGATTTAACAGAATTAGTGAAAAGTAAAGATTCTGCAACAATGGCTCCATTGATTACATTTGAAGAGCCAATCAAATGTACCGTGACTAGCACAGGAGAGGAGAGTATGGATCAAAAATACTCCCAAGAGGCGCTCAGGCAGGTACGGGAGGTTACAGCTCAGACTACCCAGCTTCAGAAACACATTGATCAGGTTGGAGAAATTGTGGCACAAGTGGCTGAAAGACAATTTAATGACACATTGACAAGACTGGAAAGTGAGCTTAAAAACCACACGATTCAGGGAGGCCCATCTCACTTGCAGCATACCCCAGGGACTAGGGGAAATTCATTTGCAAATGGTTTTAATGGAAAAAACTTTATTAGTCATTCTAGTCCCAAATTTGACGAGATTACTTCCCAGGCAGAGAAAGGAGCAGAGCTGAGAGAGCAGGGGGCGGGAGGAGTGACAGCCCAGAGGAACGAGGGGGGCGCAGACAGAGAGGCCCAGAAGGGAGTGGACCAGCACTCAGGGGCTAGGAAGAAGAGAGATTTAAGAATCAGCTTTCAGAAGCCGATTACAGTTAGAAAAGAAAGACAGCATCGTTATTTTACTCGATCTAATCAGACTATAGATGCAGAATCAAGCTCGTCAGACGAAGATTTATTGATGACCGGCTCAGATGCGTTTGTAACAGCTGAACACTCAGAAGACGACGGTACGAGTGGGGAAATTTATTATCAACAGGAAAGGCGACAGAACAAGAGGAAAGCTAGGCGCAGACAAGGAGAAGATGTGTCGATGTGTCCAATTGTGGTATCGACGTCTAGGTCCGGCAGAGAGATCAGGACATGTAAACCGCTCACTATAACTGAAATTGACTCTATAAAAATGAGAATGAAAGACCCAAGGCAGTATGGGGGCAGAGCATGTTTGTTGTCAATCCTGGAACACTATCCTGCTCAAAATTTAACCCTAAATGATCTCACTACCGTTCTCGGTGTCCATCTTCCAATCATGTCCACAGGATTTGAAAATGTTGCAGTTCGAGCCACAAACAGCTGTTCAGTGGAAGCATGGTATTCAGCTGTGATGGAAAAAATGGAAACGTTATTTCCTGTGCCCATGAATGCTATGGAAACCATAAATCTAGAAGTGCAAGATGGAGAGACAGCCGAGGCCATGAAGCATAGAATAAATAAGGAGTTTGATGCATTGTATCCAAGAGAGTCCACCCCAACCTATGATTTGATCAAAAAAATGTTCTATCAGCGAATGCTCAGGGAACTACCGACAGCTGAGAAGGAAAAACACATTCTGAATTTGGATACTGACTCGCCAGCTTTTGTTAGGTCATATTGTACTATTAAAAAGCTACTTCGGAAGAAAAGCAGCCCCAAAACTGATGATAGTTTGTCACTGATTAAGGAATTAGTTAAAGAGATTAAAAAATCTGAACCAAAGCCAGAAAAAGTGGAGAAAGCAGAAATGTTGTTTAGTGGTAATCC